TCAGCCATTGCTAATATTGTTCCCCCTGACACCTCTAAAGCTCTGCCTCTATGGTCCACACTGCTCTCAGCACTAGTGTCTTCCAAGCCTGGCTCACAACATCCAACTGCTTTCCTAGTCCAAAGTCCATTTTCTAATATCTTCTTCAATTTCTTTCTTCAAAGACTTAAAGTTCTTGTCATACAGGTCTTTCACTTGTTTGGTTAGAGTTACCCCAAGGTATTTTATGTTATCTGTGGCTATTGTAAAGGGTGATGTTTCTCTAATTTCTTTCTCAGCCCATTTATCATTTGTATATAGGAAGGCTACTGATTTTTTTGAGTTGACCTTGTATCCTGTCACATTACTAAAAGTGTTTATCAGCTGTAGTAGTTCCTTGGTAGAATTTTTGGGGTCACTTATGTATACTATCATATCATTAGCAAATAGTGAAAGTTTGACTTCTTCCTTTCCAATTTGTATCCCCTTGATCTCCTTTTGTTGTCATATTGCTCTAGCTAGAACTTTGAGTACTATATTGCATAGATATGGAGAGAGTGGACAGCCGTGTTTTGTTCTTGATTTTAGTGGAATTGCTTTGTTTCTTGCCATTTAATTTGATGTTGGCTGTTGGTTTGCTGTAAATTGTCTTTAATATGTTTAGGAATGTTCTTTGTATCCCTGATCTCTCCAAGACCTTTATCATGAAAGGGTGTTGGATTTTGTCAAAGGCTTTTTCAACATCTAATGAGATGATCATGTTTTTTTTTTCTTTCAGTTTGTTTATATGGTGGGCTACATTGACAGATTTTTTTGTATGTTGAACCATTCTCAAATCTCTGGGACGAAGCCTACTTGATCATGGTGCATGATTTTTTGATGTGTTCTTGGATTCAGCTTACTAGTGCTTTATTGAGAATTTTTGCATCAATGTTCATGAGGGAGATTGGTCTGTAATTCTCTTTTCTACTTGTGTCTTTATGTGATTTGGGTATCAGAGTAACTGTAGCCTTGTAAAAATAGTTTTGCAATGTTCCTTCTGTTTCTATTATTCAAAACAATTTCAGGAGTATTGGTATTAGCTGTTCTTTGAAATTCTGGTAGAATTCTGTGCTAAAACCATCTGGTCCTGGGCTTTTTTTGGTTGGGAGACTTGATGACTGCTTCTATTTCCTTAGGGGTTATAGCTCTATTTAAATTGTTTATCTGATCTTGATTTAATTTTGGTGTGTGGTACCTATCCAAAAATTGTTCATTTCTTTTACATTTTCCAATTTTGTGGAGTACAGGTTTTTGAAGTATGATCTAATGATTCTCTGGGTTTCCTCGGTGTCTGTTATGTCCCCCTTTTCATTTCTGATTTTGTTTTGTTTGTTTGTTTGTTTGTTTGTTTGTTTAGAGACAGGGTTTCTCTGTGTAGTTTTGGTGCCTGTCCTGAGTCTCACTCTATAGACCAGCCTGGCCTTGAATTCACAGAGATCTGCCTGGCTCTGCCTCCCAAGTGCTGGGATTAAAGGTGTATGCCACCACTGCCCAGCTCTGATTTTATTAATTTGGGTATTATCTCTCTATTTTTTTGTTAGTTTAGATAAGGGGTTGTCTATCTTGTTGATTTTCTCAAAGAACCAACTCTTTTTTTTCATTGATTCTTTGTATTGTCCTCTTTGTTTCTATTTTATTGATTTCAGCCCTGGATTTGATTATTTCCTGTCTTCTATTCCTCCTGGGCGCGTTTGCCTCTTTTTGTTCTAGAGATTTTAGGTGCGCTGTTGGGTTGCTAGTGTGAGATTTCTCCAACTTCTCTATGCAGGGACTTACTGCTATGAACTTTCCTCTTAGCACTGCTTTCATAGTGTCCCATATGTTTGGGTATGTTGTGCATTCATTTTCATTGAATTCTAGGAAGTCTTTAGTTTCTTTATTTCTTCCTTTGTCCTCATCAGTGGTGATTCAGTTGAGCATTATTCAGTTTCCATGAATTTGTAGGCTTTCTGCATTTTGTGTTGAATTCTAACTTTAAGCCATGGTGATCCAATAAGACACAGGGGGTTATTCCAATTTTTTTTTGTATCTGTTGAGATTTGTTTTATTACTAAGTATGTGGTCAGTTTTGGAAAAGGTTCCATGGGGTGCTGAAAAGAATGTATATTCTTTTGTGTTTGGGCAAAATGTTCTATAGATGTCTGTTAGGTCCATCTGAGTCATAACATTTGTTCGTTCCCTTATTCCTCTGTTAAGTTTCTGTCTGGCAGACCTGCCCAGTGGTGAGAGAGGGGAGTTGCAGTCTCCCACTATTAGTGTGTGGGGTTTGATGTGTGATGTAAGCTTTAGTAATGTTTCTTTTACAAATGTAGATGCCCTTGTATTAGGGGCATAAATGTTCAGAATTGAGGATTCATCTTGATGGATTTTTCCTGTGATGAATATGAAATGTCCTTCTCCATCTCTTTTGATTGATTTTAATTTGAAATCTATTTTGTTAGATATGAGGATAGCTATATCAGCTTGTTTTTTAGGTCCATTTGTTTGGAAAGTATTGGGAATTTCCTTCTAGTAGGGCTGGATTTGTAGATATGTAATGTTTAAGCCTGGTTTTGTCATGGAATATCTTGTTTTCTCCATCTACGGTGATTAAAATCTTTGCTGGGTATAGTAGTGTGAGGGGGTATCTGTGGTCTCTTAGTATCTGCAGAATATCTGTCCAGGACCTTCTGGCTTTCAGAGTTTCCATTGAGAAGTTGAGTGTAATTCTGATAGGTCTGCCTTTATATGTTACTCGACCTTTTTACTTTGCTGCTCTTAATATTCTTTCTTTATTATTTATGTTTATTATTTTGACTATTATGTGGCAAGGGGACTTTTTTGTGGTCCAGTCTATTTGGTGTTCTGTATGCTTCTTGTATCTTCATAGGCATATCCTTCTTTATGTTGGGAAAGTTTTCTTCTATAATTTTGTTGAATATATTTTCTGTGCCTTTGAGCTGGAATTCTCCTCCTTATTCTATCCCTATTATTCTTATGTTTAATCTTTACATGGTGTCCCAGGCTTCCTGGATATTTTGTGTTAAAAATTTGCTGGATTTAACTTTTTCTTTGACCGATGAATCTATTTTCTCCATTGTATCCTCAATGCCCGAGACTCTCTCATTTCTTGTATTCTGTTGGTTATGCTTGCCTCTGTAGTTTCTGTTTGTTTACTCTGATTTTCCTTTTCCAGAATTCCCTCAGTTTGTGTTTTCTTTATTGCCTCTATTTTAATTTTCAAGTCTTGAACTGTTTCCTTCATCTGTTTGATTTTTTTCCTTGGGTTTCTTGACTTTCTTGAAGAGATTTCTTGATTTCCTCCAATTTTTTTGTTTGTCTTTTTCTCCATTTCTTTAAGGGAATTTTTCATTTCCTCTTTTGGGGCCTCTATCATCTTCACAAGGTTGTTTTTAAGGTCATTTTTTTTTTCTGGATCATCTGCTTTGGGATGTTCAGTTCTTCCTGTTGTACCACTAGGTTCTGGTGGTGCTGTATTGCTCTTCATGTTGTTTAATGTGTTCTTACACTGCCATCTACCCATTTTTTTTCTTTAATCTGAACAGGTGGAGCTCCAGGACGCTGTTCTTTCAATTGGTGCAGGTGGAGTCTCTGGCTCCTGTGGTTGCTCTTCTTCCCAATTAGTCCAGGAGGGGGTGTATGTCTCCGGCAGTCACTGGTGCCACAGGGGATGGTTTGTGAGGGGGTGGGAGTGGGAAGAGGCTGCTGCTAGTCTCTGGGGCTGCACTGGCTGGGGGCAGGGTGGGGGGGACACGAAATGTGCCCATGGGGTCTAGGGGCTAGAGAACTGGGCTTTCCAGTCCAGAGATTGGGGCCTTACCTGTTCCCAATAGGTTCAGGGTGAGCGTATCTTGTTTTGATTTTCAAGACATGGTTTGTCTGTATTGCCCTGGCTGTCTCAGAACTCGCTATGTAGATCAGGCTGCCCTTGAATCACAGATCTGCCTGCTTCTGTTTCCCAAGTGCTGGGATCAAAGGTACTTACGTCCAGCTTCTTATGAACTTTTATTTAAATAGGGAAAAACTTTAAAAATTAAGTCATTTTTGGCTGGAGAGATAGCTCAGCAGTTAAGAACACTAGCTATTCTTCCAGAGGACCTGGGTTCAATTCTCATCATTCACATGATAGCTCACAGCATCCATAACTCTAGTTCCAAGGGATCTGATGCCCTCTTCTAGCGTCCTTGAGAACTGCACACCTGTGGTGCACATGCATGTAAAACACCCACAAACATAAATAAAAGTAAACAAACCTTTAATATTTTTAAAAATAATCAAATAATTTTGGAGAGAAAAAAGTTTTGAAATGAAGAAAATCAATCAGGATCTATGGCTCTATAATATTAGTATCATCATCATTGTAAAGTTTTTCTTACTGTGAATGGGCCTTAAAATACATTTCTGTTTTATAACCCACTCTGTAGATGAATTTCTAAACAGTCTTATTAAATAAGAAGCACAGAGCCAAATACAGAGTTAAAAGCCCAAGAGATCAGAGCACCAGCGAAGAGCCAAGACCACCTTATCTTACCACTCGCTGCCGTCCTTCCCCTGAGAGAGAGTTTCTTCCTGTCTGACTTGTCTTTTTATTGCCTTTCTGTTCTGCCTTCTCATTAGCTCTAAACCCAACGACATGACTTCCTAGTCACTGCCTGTCTATACAGACCTCCAGGTCTCTATGATTGGTACTGGGATTAAAGGTTCATGTCACCACGCTTGGCTGTGTCCTTGAACACACAGAGACTCTGCCTGCCATGTGATCAGATTAAGGGCGTGGGCTACCACCACCTGACTTCTGTTCCTGGCTTGCTAATGACTTCTGATCTCCAGGCAAACTTTATTTATTAACGTACAAATAAAATCACATTTCAGCACAATTAAAACATCACCACACCACTCCTCACCTTTTTGGTAGTAGACAAAAATGAAACATGTATTACCTTGTTTGCAAGTAGATCTTTCATCTTTGTTAATTTCAGGGAATGACTGTTGCCATATTGGGACCCACATTTCCAGACCTGGCAAGGAATGTGAACCGGAACATCAGCAGCCTTTCGGAAGTCTTCGTGGGCCGTGCCCTCGGCTACTTGTGTGGCTCTGTGGTTGGCGGGGCACTTTTCGACTGTATGAATCATTTCTTACTTTTAGGTAAGTAAACATCAACTTTTGTTCGCAACTTGGCTCTAAGTATGAAAAGTGCAGCCTTAATTCGGACTCGACAACAGACATGGGTAGTGTGTGGGCACCTCCCCGGCACTGGGCTTCCACGGGTCCTGTCTCTACCTGGGCTGGTGGAGGGAATCTGTACTCAGCCCTCTGGGAACTCTTCAGTTTGTGTGTTGGCGCTCCTGAGGCTCCAGTCTCAGGTCACACATTTGAAGGTGTGGCAGGTTCCCAGGGCTGCAGAGGTCAGAATGAGCTCTCCACACCTGCCACACCTGTTTACAATTTATTTGTAGTATTACAATGGTCCTCATGTCATAGTTTATAGTGTGTATATACATATACATATACATATACATACATACACACACACACACATATATATGTAAGTTTATTAGCATGCACAATATTGGGGGAATACAATACCACATTTCCTCTCTTTTTGTCTAAAATTTAAAAAAGAAAATTATACAAGAAAAATTATATCCAGTAAGTATATACAATATACACAGTCAAGATTACATTAACGATGTCTAGTCCATTAACATTTGACAGATTCAGATAAAAACTCCATTATATATATTAACAATGTCCAGTCCAGTAACATCTGATAAGCTCAGACCAAAAAATTTTCATTACTTGTCTTATTTAAAACAAGTAGTTCCTTTTTAAAAGTAGATTCCATAATCTCCCTTTTTTATCTTATCATATCCATATTCTCTCTTTTTTTCTTTTCATAATACATTCAATAGTCTACATAGATAGATAGATAGATAGATAGATAGATAGATAGATAGATAGATAGATAGGAAGATTTGAGGCAGGGTATCTCTATGTAGTCCTGGCTGTCCTAGAACTTATTACATAGACCAAACTGGCCTCAAATTCACAGAGATTTACCTGCCTCTGCCCCCCAAATACTGGGATTAAAGATGTACATGGTCACACCCAGTAATTATTTTGGTTACTTTTAATCCATAAATATAATATAGTATGCTGTGGATATCACTCTATATAAATAAAACACTGATGGCCAGTGACCAGGCAGGAAGTATAGGCGGGACAAAGAGAGAGGAGAATTGGGGAAACAGGAAGAAGGAGGGGGAGACACTGCAGCCACCGGCAGGACAAGCAGCATGTGAAGACGCCGGGAAGCCACCAGCCACGTGGCAAGGTATAGATTTATAAAAATGG